GTCTCCTGTCTTTTTGTCCATGTCTCTGTCTCCAGACCATATGACATAGCTGGTCTCACCACTGTCTTGTAAACTTTTCCTTTGACCTTTGCTGACACCCTTTTATCACAAATCACTCCTGAAACTTTTCTCCATCCACTCCATCCTGTCTGGACTCTCTTCTTCACCTCTTTACCACACTCCCCATTTTCCTGGACAGTGGACCCCAAGTACTTGAAGTCTGCACCTTTGTGACCTCTGCTCCTTGTAGCCTCACTGTTCCACCTCCTCCCTCTCATTCACACACATGTACTCTGTCTTACTACAGTTGACTTTCATTCCTCTTCCTTCAAGTGCATACCTCCACCTCTCCAAGTTCTCTTCCACCTGTTCTCTGTTCTCACCACAGATCACAATGTCATCTGCAAACATCATAGTCCACAGGGATTCCTGTCTGACCTCATCTGTTAGTCGATCCATCACCAGAGCAAACAAGAAGGGGCTCAGAGCTGATCCTTGATGCACTCCCACCTCCACCTTGAAGCTATCTGTCACTCCTACAGCACATCTCACCACTGTCCTGCTGTCCTCATACATGTCCTGTACGAGTCTAACATGTCCTGCTGTTTACAACCTTTAATTGTTCATTTCAACTTTTGTTCTGATTCAGCATTTTTTTTAGCTTATTTCTGCCCCTTTCAGCTGTTTTCTGTAAAATTTATTGTTTTTGTTCTTGTTTTCAACTTTTTCTGCTAAGTTCAACCTTTTTATGCTCTGGTCATCTTCTTTCAGCAAAATTCAGCTTTTTTTTTTACAGTTACATTTACTTTATAAGTATTTTTCTGATACATTTTGACCTTTTTCAACATTTTTTAAATTGATTATTTTTGCTAATTTTGCATTTTTTTTGTGATTCTTATAAATAATTTAAACTATATGCTTTTTCAGCCTCTTTCTGCTAATGTCAGCATTTTAATTTTAGGCTTTTTTAGCTACATTTTTTTTAAATTTCAGCTTTTTCTGCTCATTTTTACGTTTCTTTTTTGCTAACTTCCCTTTTTCATAATCTGTTCAGCATCTTTCTGCCTATTTCAGCTTATTCTGCTAATTTCAGCTCTAGTCAGCTTTTTCGACACATTTCTGCTCATATTTTCCTGCATTCAGCAAATGTCAGCTGTTCAAATTGTATTAACTGTTTAGTCATGAAAACTTTTCAGCCTGGTTTAAACTTCTTCAGAAGCTTTCAGTAAAAAACATAAGTATTCACAGTGCATGCAGTTGTTCTAGTTATTATTAGTATTTTTTTTATTATTATTTTACATTTAGTTACATAGAATGTGCTCTTGCTGAATTCTCCATTGTCTCAGATCTGTCTCCTCTCTGTAATAGGTATGGTCGGCGTTTGGTCTTGCTCTGGTCCATAGCTCTTCAGACTGTCTTCGGAGTCGCTGTAGCTTTTGCACCCAACTTCCCAGTTTATGTGATTCTTCGCTTTGCAGTTGGGACCACCATATCCGGAGTCATTATCAACGCTTTTGTTCTCGGTAAAACACAAAACAAACACTCGTGGAGAGAAATTGATACAAAATGTAGATAAGTAACTTTGGCAGACATGATCACAATTTTCTAAACTGTGTGTGGAGTGTGGGGAGCCGTTCTATGAATTAATTTTATTCTGTCCTTTGACTCTACCAGTCTTTTCTCAGACAGTGCTCTGTGTGTAACTGGAGTTCTGCAGGAGGCAGCCATGTTGAATTTCAAGTCTGGAATCTCAGATTGGAGTTTGAGTTTTAACTTTAATTATTTTATTTATTTGAACTCATTGTAAGTGAAAGCATTAAGGTCCTTTGCTTTACTGATCTATTCTCAACTGGGTCCATCTAAAAATGAGGCTCCTCTGACCTCTGGGTTCTTCAGTTACACTTCAGCCTTGTCTGGTTTGGATTGTTGAAGCATAATGAAGAAAAGATGTTCATAAAACTCAAAACTCTGACCCGTCCATCAAAACTGTAAAAAACATTAGTGTTGTTTCTTCCACAACCACATTTTCCTCCACCTCAGACCTCCACCCAACACCTTCAGCCAAACAAAATACCCACAATTCCTCCTGTTCTCTCGTCTCCTCGTCCCTACTTTTCTCCACCAGGTACTGAGTGGACCTGCACCAAGAGGCGCATGCTGGCTGGCATCATCACAGACTACACCTTTGGCCTGGGTTACATGCTGCTTGCAGGAGTGGCGTGCCTCATACGAGACTGGAGAAAGCTGCAACTAGCTATATCAGCTCCAGGCTTCCTGCTTATCTTCTACATATGGTGGGAAGGTCAAGCTGCATCGAAACATTAGATCCACTGTGCATTCATCTATTCATGAATGTCCTGCTTGTTGCACTCATTTCCTCCTCTGCCCTTATATCCACCACTCCCCTGCTTCTGTCCACCTCTTTGCTGTCTGTCTCCTGTCAGGGTGCTCCCCCAGTCTGCCAGGTGGTTAATAGCCAACGACAGGCGGAAGGAGGCCATCGCACTCCTGAAAAAAGCAGCACTTGTGAACGGACGGGTTTTACCTCCTGCTGTCCAGGTGTGGGTCTTTAGGTTTCGTTGTGTGTCTGCAGATTTCATGAAACGTTATAAAACCAACAAGCCTGTTTGCTTCAGCGTCCAAGGAAGTGATTCACATTCCTGTTTATTGCTGACGTACAAATCAAAAAGAAATAAACGATTGGTTACTGTACGCTTAAAAAATAAAGTTACATGAAGCAGTGGTTCAGATCCTTTAAAGTGAGATTCTGCAGAAAGATAATATTTCTTTAAACAGGCTCGATTTGGAGAAGTACATATGAGTTCTGATCCGACTGGTAAGCTAAAGGCTAATCCCAGCAAGACCAACAGGATTGAGCTGTTTTAAAACAACTCTGCCGTGTCTGTGAACGCTACATTTAAAACCTTCACATCATCGTTAGTTTAAACTAACACAGTTGTTGACACAGATTTCTGTGATTATTTTAGAGCTCAAATAGCGGCAGCAGCTAGCTGTAGCACTTCTGGTGGAGCCCGGGCACTTTCACTGGAATAAGCACCTTGTGAAGGACATTCAGCTCTTCCCACACCAGTGTAGCCATTTTGTGTAGGCTGTGTCGGCCATTTTGAACCAGGTTGATTCAAAAAGTTGTTGAGCTGTAGATGGCAGCCATTACTCTAACGATTTCACTAAAGTCTGTTCAGCTGAACATAAGATATTTTGCTAACAGAACAGGATTAACTCAATGGTTTTGAGTAAAAATGTTGACCAGCTCTCAACATTTGTTTTGGGAACAATGCTGAGCTACTACCACACCAAACTTTAGCTCAATTTTTGTAAAATTGGCTGATTTGATGCATTTTTGTGTTTGGTAGGGTCAGTGGTTTGTGGCGGCCATCTTGAATTAGTTTGAGTCAGTAAGTTGTAGATGTTTATCTATTGATTAAACCTACTTCATCAGGTTTTTGTTGACCTGGCCAGATGTAAATAAATAGAAGGAAACCCCTCAGCAGTAATCCACTGTCAGTGCTCTTTGTGGTCGTAGTGGTCTTGTAGGGCCACGATTGCATTCCTTTGTCCACTTCAGAAGGTTCAGCACTCTCTTTCTCAGTTGGGTTTTTCCTTTGTTTGAGTTATTGATGAACATCCATCCACTCCTCTTAGGATATTCAAAGTTACTAAAATAACAAACTGTGACCAAATGGAGATTCCACAAATGAAATCCACTGCAGACACATGGCCATGAAACTGCTCGTCTCTCTGCCAGTCATGGACCATAACTTCTGCGTCTAAAAAATGGAGCACCTCAGTTTAAATCGCACTTTCAGTATAGTTTAGGTGAGTTTCTGCCAGCTCAGCATCTATGACAATGATAACTAAGGATATTTGTGTGTTTTTTAATAGATCTCAGTAATATGAAAACAAAACTCCACAAGGTTTTGATTTGTTTGTGTTCATTTTCATGTCAGGATGAAAAGTGGGACATTTTAGGTGGGGCGAAGCAGCGCCACTCTCCAGTGGATCTTGTACGAAGGCCTCAGATGAGAAAACGGGCCATCATCTTGTTCTACATCTGGTACGTCCTGTTTCTGGTGTGACAGATTTGATAAACTAAATTTCCTTCCTTCAAAAAATACAATTCAACAACTCCAGCTGGTCCAGAACGACACTGCAAGAATACCAAAGTTCATGCTCAATAGGCATAAAATCCAACAATGTTCAGTCAGGTCATCTGGACAGTTTCTCTTTTGTGTGCTGAGATGTTTCTCCCTCCATCCAGAAGGCTTCATCAGCCTGAGGAAACACCAAACAAAACTGCTTCTCACCCAACAGCTTACTCCAAAGTGGAAAAAAATCCATGATGCTAAGATGGTCTCTGGGACACGCCCTCGCCTCCAGTGTCTGCCCTCTCCCTCGTCGACAGTCATGTCAAACTGGTTCAAAACACCAAAGTCCATGCTCAATAATCCAGGTATAAAATCCAACAATGTTCAGGCGAAACATCTCAGCACACAAAAAAAAGAAAGAACCCGTCTAGATGACTTGACCGAACATTGTTGGACACTGCCAGAATCTTAACAAAGTCCCAAAACTTTCAGGAAATAACTCTGGTTCTTCATTCACTCCACTGGTCACCAGTTTCTTACAGAGTACATTATAAAGTACTCCTTGTCCATGCTTAACGGACCATCTTATACAGTGTGAGCCGCTGAGACCTCTCAGATCAGAACCAGGACAAGTTGTTCCACAAACCAGAACCAAATGTGACAAAGCTGCTTTTAGTTTTCATGCCTCTCACATGTGGAACAAACTGCCCGAGGAGCTCAGACTTCAGTCTGATCTGATCTAAATTAAATACAACTTAAATTATTACATTTAATTAACTTTTTCTTCTGTAAAGAACCTTGAGTTGCCTCCTCGTATGAAATGTGCCATACAATTTTGCCTTGCCTTCTCCTTTCATTGTTGTCTCCGGTTTCCAATCCCAGGTTTGTGAATGTGCTGGTGTATTATGGCCTCTCCCTGGGTGTATCCAGGTTAGGGACAGACCTGTACCTGACCCAGTTTGTGTTTGGGTTGGTTGAGATCCCAGCTCGCACTCTGGTCCTCCTCGTCCTGCCGTTCAGCCGCAGACTCAGCCAAAGTGGCTTCCTGGCAGTTGGCGGTCTTGCCTGTCTGCTCATGCTCTCCATCCCTGCTGGTAGGACGGCGGCAGAAAGAAACGTTTTTGAAAACTGTGCACTCTTCACCTCCGAGCTGCTTCTTCTCAAATGTCTCTGTTTATAGATCATCCTAATATCCTGACTGGGCTCGCCATGGTCGGCAAGTTTGGTATAACGGGTTCTTTCGCTGTCATCTACGTATACACTGCTGAGTTATTCCCAACTGTGGTAAGGTAAGACTTACAGGTGTTTGGAATTCATCTAAACTTTCCTCATATACACATTCTTGAGACTTTTGTTGCCGTTGTACCTTTAGGCAAACGGGGATAGGCGTGTGCGGCATGTTTGCGAGGTTGGGTGGTGTGTTAGCCCCCATAATCAACATGCTAGATAACCACAGCCCTGCTACACCCCTCATCATCTTCGGTACCTCTCCACTCCTGGGGGCTGTCTTTGCCCTGGCTCTGCCTGAAACTGCCGACAGACCTCTGCCAGACACGCTGGACGATGCAGAGACCTGGGATGACAGGTACTTGGGGAAACCCCCCCCACAATAAGTACACTCTGAGATAAAGTGAAACTATTTGTTCATAGCAAGCTTTAAGGACAGATCAATTTGAACCTGGTGAAGGGTAAAAACTAGGACTAGTCTACACTGCTCTGGTTATTTTAAAGAGCAGAGATTTTTCTGCTGCATTTGCCCCTCCCGTTCACAAACACATTTTAGTGGGATTAAAAAACTTTTACTTTCATTTTTGAAGTAGAACAACTGAAAAGACGAGGCTTTTAGAACTAAAATGGCACGATCAAAACCAAATGGAGCTTTTTGTGTTCTCAACAAAAACATCTTTATTTCCACTCATTTCCAGAACTAAAACTAAAATGAACAAATAAGTAGAAAGAGAAAATTCAAAGCACAAACAAGTTGTATTTACCCATCAAAGTTAAATCAGCTCCTCTGGACGGTTTCTTTTATTGAAACGTTTTGTCTTTCATCCAAAAGACTTCATCAGTCAGAGGAGCCACAACAAACTCAGCCTTATAAATGGCACCTTTACATAGTGGGTCAACCAGTTTGATGGTGCTCAGATGGTTTCTGGAGTCCACCTGCTCCACCACCTACTCATCTGAGGCAGCCATGGCCAAAGTGGTTGAAAACATCCTGATTCAGAGATTTCAGGAGAGGGTGGACTCCAGAAACCATCTGAGCACCATAAACTGACTCAGATAAGGTGCCGTTTATAAGACGGAGTTGTTGCAGCTCCTTAGACTGATGAAGTCTTCTGGATGAAAGATGAAATGTTTCAACTGTCCAGAGGACCTGGCTTAACTTTGTTAGTTGTATTTATGTTTCTAGACTATTGAATAAGGCCGTGGCTGTTTGGAAAAGGGAGTTGTAGTTGGCTTCAGTGAACCCGTCATGTTCCAGATGGATCAGGACAAACCGTCCAGCAGCTATGATTCTTCTGTGGACTGTAATAAATCAGACTTTTGTGCGGCATTCACCAGTTAATCCGGCAAAGATGAAGGTTGTCAGACTCCTGCCACCTGCTGAGAGGAAATTAAAATTTAACATTCCTCGTTCTTGATCTTTGCCACATTTGCTTCACATTTTGTCTCCTGCAGCTTGGTTCCCACCAAGACAAACCCTGAGCTGTGTGAAGACTTCAGCCCGTCAGCAAGCGGCACAGAGAAGCAGGAGCAAGCAGGACTGAAGGGTGTAAAAGGATGAGCGCTCTCGATCCGTCCCAGAACACAACCGCATCTTTAAAAACTAAATACGGACTCAACGCAGCATCTTCTGTGCAACTCCATGTCAGGACGCCATTATGAACAAGGTGTTCATGCTCTGCAGCACAAAGACCACATTCAGTGTTTCAACAAGAAGCTCACTGTTTTAACAGGTTAACAAAACTGTTGTACAGCTTTTTATATCCTTCAGTTTCTATCTTTAACACAGCTTTACAGAAAAACATACAGACTGCATATTTGTCTATAGATGACCAGAGCTGCCTCCGTCTCTAATGCAGCTCTCAGCCCTGCAGCTTGTTTTGTAAAGTAAGAAGTCCACACAGCCCCTTTCAGGTCTAAACTTTTATCAATGGAAACAAGAGAACAAAGATCTGGTCTTCACCTGCTCCTTACCTTTTTGTAGGAGCCCATTTATGTCGTTCCTTCTAAAAAGCTGATTCAGTTTTATGCTTTAACACTCCTCATACTGATGAGCAGCAGCATCTCCAAGTTCATTTCTGACGACTTTGCTCTTTGATTAAGTGTTAAAGTCTGCGTGAAAGCTTCAGATGAGAAAACTGAAAACATTTTGCTCTTTAGCTCAGGGGTGCCCACACTTTTTCATCATGGAGCTTCTTTTAAAATGACCAAGTCAAAGTGATCTACCTGCTATAATGCCCTGTTTACACAGAACGACCTGTGAAAATTAGTTTTTTCAATGTTTATTTGAGATAATAAACAAAAAATGAGCAGGTTTACACAAAAACGCTAGTTTCCATATCAGTCGGGTTGCCAGATAAAAAAAAAAAATCATGAACTACAGTACTGTCACTTTTAAAATCGTAGTATTTTGACCTCAACTGTCACATGTGCTGAGTGAATATATTCTAAAAGAGTTGTGTTGTGTTTGTTGAACATGTGCACAGAAAAGAAGGGGGTAAATAATTTTATTTAAACATTCTAAATGTGTCTGGCAACCCTCATTGCACATGCAGTCTCTGCATGACAGTTAGTCCAAACTGGTGAAGACACCAACGTCTCTTTGGAGTCTGGATTTTATTAGTTTTGCTCCTACATGTTGAAAAAGGGTGAGCAGCACAAAAACACTCTGCTCTCTGACATTTATTATAACTGTTGTTAGAGCAGGAAAACTTTGGACTGCAGCCGCCTGGAGTGTGCATGTGCAACTTCCAACTTGGAGCATTTCACACCTCTGTGGGGGGGTTCCCCTGAAAACCTCCCCTCAGACCTGGATTCAGAAACCTTCAGTTTCAGAGAGAACGAGGCTGTTATCTGTAAATGGCCAAACATTTCACGTGGTGTAAACAGGGCTCAGACTGGCTGCCCTGTCTGTCAGTCAAGTGACAGATTTCATAGATGGATGGCTGATGTTTATTTTTTTTAATGCCATACCATCTACCCAAAATACCTTTGAGATCGACAGGTAGATTGCAATTGGGCACCCCTGGTTTAGAGGGATAAAAGCTTATTAATGTGCATTTAATATGTAGCTCTAGATTAAAAATTACAATTTTATAACAATGTGCTGTTTGACAGAGGTTGTATTGAAATAATCCTCCTGCTGCCCTTGGGTCACAATGAACCCAGAGGTGTTTGTTGTAAAGGTGATGTTTCAGGGATCATTTTGACCTAAGGGCAGCAAGAGGATTAATCTGAAATCTTAAAATCTGCTTTATGAAGCAGGTTCAAGGGTTTCCTGAGGAAATCTGGTTCAACTAATCCCGTGGACATCCGACTCAGTGTGAACCAGACTCAGCAAGTCAGCCCAGGATTTTCTGACTTGTTAGCACATTCATTAACGAGTGTTCATCGGTCATGAATCAGTAAAGAATGGGGGGGGGGGGGGGGGGGGGGGGGGGCAGTTTGTGAAAGTAGATTATTTGAAATAAGTTAGCAATACAGATTAGAAGGGAACCAGCGTTACAAAAATCCTGGTTGGGACCTTATTTTAATTTCCTGATAAATTAAACTTTATAATGAAAAGAATTTAAACAAATTTTTCCACTGTAAAATCTTATAAATCAGATTTTTTTTTTTACCATTTAATAAAAACTTTAAGTGCATCATGTCTGAAACTAAAGTAGGTTTCCTGTAATTTTTTTTTTCGTCATGGTTTACATGTAATCCGCTTCATTATCTCCAAACCCTCCTGCTTCCCTTGGGTCAACGAGACGCCTGAGGCCTCATTTTTGCAGCAGGAGGGTCTCTAGCAAAGATTAGTTTGCATGCATTAGTTATTTTTTTTATGCCTAATGTAGCGATTGTATGACTCTGTCGACTAACAGGTTTTTGTTTATTGAAAATATGGAAGTGCATGAAACAAGGTTTTTAATTTTAGCATTGCTTGTAGATATTTGCTTTCCTTTACTAAAATATACTTCGATATGAAACAACCTCAGATTCAGGAGGAGCAGTGTGGTTTTTGTCCTGGTCGTGGAACACTGGACCAGCAGGGTCCTAGAGGGTGCGTGGGAGTTTGCCCAACCGGTCTACATGTGCTTTGTGGACTTGGAGAAGGCGTTCAACCGCAGCCCTCAGGGAACCCTGTGGGGGGTACTCCGGGAGTACTGGGTACTGGGCCCTTTGATACGGGCTGTTAAGTCCCTATATGACTGGTGTCAGAGCCTGGTCTGCATTGCAGTAAGTCGGGCTCGTTCCAGGTGAGAGTTGGACTCTGCCAATGTTGTCCTTTGTCACCGATCCTGTTCATAACTTTTAGTTTTATGGACAGAATTTCTAGGCGCAGCCAAGGTGCTGAGGGGATCCGTTTTGGTGACCTTAGGATTGTGTCTCTGCTTTTTGCAGATGATGTGGTCCTATTGGCTTCATCAAGTTGTGCTCTACAGCTTTTGTTGGAGCAGTTCACAGTCCAGTGTGAAGGGACTGGGATGAGGATCAGTTCCTCCAAATCCGAGGCCACGGTCTTGAGCCAGAAAGGGCAGAGTGCCCTCTCTGGGTTGGCGAGGAGGTCTTGCCCCAAGTGGAGGAGTTTAAGTATCTTGGGGTCTTGTTCACGAATGAATGAGGGAAAAAAATGGAGCGTAAGATCGATAGACAGATAGGTGCAGCGTCTGCAGTGAAGCGGGGGCTGCACCGGTCTGTCGTGGTGAAGAGAGAGCTGAGTCAAAAGGCGAAGCTCTCAATTTACCAATTGATCTACGTTCCTACCCTCATCTATGGTTAGGATGCCTCCTGGACGCCTCCCTGGTGAGGTGTTCTGGACACGTCCCACCGGGAGGAGACCCAGAGGAAGACCCAGGACACGCTGGAGGGACTATGTTTCTCAGCTGGACTGGGAACGCCTCGGGATTCCCCCGGAGGAGCTGGACCAAGTGGCTGGGGAGAGGGAAGTCTGGGCCTCCCTACTTAGGCTGCTACCCCCATGACCTGACCCCGGATAAGAGGAAGAAAATGGATGGATGGATGATTCAACTTAGTTTTAATGCCATTATGGACCTTTAGACAACACGTACACTTGTTTAAACATTTATGAACAAATGTTTGACAACAATCAAATCAAACAGTCAAAAGTGCAAAAAAGTTCAGGAAAATAAAAATAGGCTTAATGTTTTTAAAACAATCATTCTCAAAGGAAAGAAGTAAAAATCATTCTTTGAATGCCTAAAATGTAAAACTGAATCAGTAACTTGAACAAGCAGGAGCTCCTGCTGAATGCACGCGTTTTATATGAACCAGAGATGTTGGTGCAAATGGAATATGTTCACCATTTTTACTGTAATGATTCATCCGTTTTGGCAAAACAAGAAGGCATTTCATCAATAAACTTTAGAGAACATGAACTTATTGTGTGCGAGTCGTGCAGTTTTTTTCCATGCATGAATTGCATGGTCACATAAAGCAAAGTGTCAGCTTGAGGCGCTGGCAGCTCCAGGTGAACAGCACTGAGCTGAAACAAGCAGAGCCTAAGCCAGCGTAACGTACGTAGCATCAGTGGTGACCCCGCAGTTGTTATCCTTCATAGACATGAGGATGTAGCCGGCGTTACCCCAGTAGGTGGACCAGGAGTTCTTTATCAACCAGTACGGCTCCCCGTTCAAGGTGCCATATCCCACAGCAAGCACAGCATGGTCCAAATCATTGGTGGTATTTCCTAACGAGACAAGAAGAAAGCGTCAGCTCACGGAGAGGAAGTACTCGGCTGTGCCTAAAGCAGGAGAGAAACTCACCACATGCTGGTTCGTAGTAGACGCCGTGGCTGTAGAAAACAAAGGACCTGTGTGACGCATCGATACTGACGGCTGTTGGCCCGTTTTTGAACAGGGCCAGCTTCAGGGCCTCGGCGTCGCCCGATGTGACGTTAGTGTAGCTCTTGATCTGTGCGGTGAGCTGGGAGGAGTTCACGTGGCAAAATCCGTTCTGTTTAAAGGAGAACAACGAACTGAGAACGTGTACGAAGCTGAACAATGTAAAGTTAAGATTAAAACCTTTTATTTTACTCTGGTTTCCTGTTAAGAGTACCGCTCTAACACTCCCACTGATAAATTATACAGCCCTCTGTAGCAATGCCCCGGACAAGCAAAGACCTATAGTCTCATTTGTAACCTTGATCTTGAAGCTGGGGTGATGAAAAGTGACACTGTCTGGTGATGATCATGTACCGTAATCATGTTTCCACCCAACAGCACCAATAAGAACCCATGCAGTGACCTTTCCTCTTGGCCCCTTCAGAGGAACAGTCACTAATCTGGGAGTGTAAATGGACCCCTCCATGAAATTAAACGGTCAAATCACGGTTAAATCCTGCTTTTTCCCCTCAGTTGTGGAGACTGTCTAAACTGTACTGGACAGTATGTGTACGGTCCAAAAGTAACGTTGGGACAGAAGACATGCTTTCATAACATCCAGCTGGGTTAGTGCAACACTCTTTATAGAATCAGCCTGATTTTTAACTTCTGCAGGAACAAGACGAGACGTTTCTCTGCTATTGGCTTCCTGTTCACTTCCCAATACATTTTTAATTATTTTGCATGTCTAACAGTTCTGCCCCTCTTATCTCTCTGATCTGCTGCAGCCATATATCCCACAGTGCTTGGAGGTCAGCAGATCAGATGCTTTTATTGGTTCCACGCACACGATGCAGCTCAGGGACACAGCCTTCTCTGTTTCAGGTCAAAACTGTGGAATGAGTTACACAGCGCGTCAGGCAGGCACTTATGGTTTTTAAGTCTTGTTTAAAAACTAACTTTTATTCCACGGCCTCCGACACAGCATGAGTTGATGTCAACCACACTTGGTTGTGGTTATTCCAGTCGTTCCAGCTGTTTTATTGTTTTACCTGTTGATTTATCCATTTTGTCCTGTGTTCTGCTCGTTTGTTTTTATTGTACTGTATAGTTTCATTTGGTTGGCCATGTTGCCGTTTTCAAGTGCTTTAAATTTAAAATGGTATTTTGAACAGAACAGAAAATATGGACGGGACCAATGAAAGTTTACCGACCTACATACTGGGCTGAGTACGGCTATCTTCATAACAGGACCGCACCGCTAACAGGACCACGATGCTAACAGAACCGCTTCGCTAACAGAACCTCTCTGCTGACAAGAACAGTACTTTTATAAACACGTTTATTTTAAGTGTTTTATTGCTGTATATATTGTCTGTCTAAATCAGGTCTCTCTTGTAAATGAGTCTTTGTGACTCAATGAGACTAATCTGTATAAAAAGGTTAAATTTAAAAATAAAATAAAAATCTTTGACTTTTAAAATGAAATACTGAGATTTCACAACTTAGGTGGAACAATATCTTGATGATCCTCAATCAGATTTAAAACAGATGATCAGAGCACACAGCTGAAGCCACTTTCTTTGGAACAGAATGTTCCAACACAACCAACTTAGTCTGATAGAAATGAGAACCGAACCGTGCAGTTTCCTCCTTCATGCCTCAGTGTTATAATTTTAAACCATTTGGAAACGGATTCTACTGCAGACTTCTTCAAAAAAAAAAAAGACCTAAATGTGTTTAAATGTTTTGAAACGGACTGGGATATTCAGCATGTATCATCTCACCATTCCCATATAGGCTCCGTAGGTTTCTGTAGTGGCGATGCCTCCGTGCTTCATGATCCACTCGTACGCTCTCCACTCCTCCCCACCGTCACACCCGTTGTTGCCGAAACCCCAGGAGCAATCCACCAGCACCTGCTGAGACAGGACCTGCAGAGAGCCCGTCTGAGAGACAGGACGTGGTCACACCGGTTACCATCTCGTCCTGCTCCGAGTCAAACTCAAAATAGTTCATAAAACATAATAAAAAGACCCAACAAAGTTCAGTCAGGTCCTCTGGACAGATTCTTTTTGCTGAAACGTTGTCTTTCATCCGAAAGACTTAGTCTGAGGAGCTGCAACAGACTCAGTCTTATAAATAGCACCTTCACACAGTAGCTCAACCAGTTTGATGGTGATAAGATGGTTTCTGGAGTCCGCCACTTGGCAGACTGCCATGGAGCCATAGCCAAAACAGATTCAAAAACATCCTCAGACGAGTTGGCAGGGGAGAGGGTGAACTCCAGAAACCATCTTAGCACCATCAAACTGGTCAATGCTAAAGAGGCTGGCTGTTCACAGAGCTCTGTGTCCAAGTACATTAATAGAGAGGTGAAGGGAAGGAAACGATGTGCTAAGAAAAAAAAAAAGTGTACAAGCAATAGGGATAACTACACCCTGGAGAGGATGGTGAAACAAAACCCATTCCAAAATGTGGGGGAGATTCACAGAGTGGACTGCAGCTGGAGTCAGCGCAGAGGTTAGAGAAAGTGGGCCCATGACCAGAAGGTCACTGGTTACACTCCTGCTACAGACATCAAAATGTGAGTGGGAATGGTGAAACACCCACACCTGGCTCCAGCCTCATTTGTCTCACTCTGGGTCCTTGAGCAAAGCTCTTAACCCCCACCATCAGCTCCCTGGGAGCCCAAGATGGCAGCTCTTTTCTCCACACAGAGGAGGTTGTGTCAGGAAGAGCATCCGGCGAAAAAACAAAATCACCAAGTCTTCGTGCGAGTTAGTTCGCTGTGGCGACCCCTGAAGCAGCGAGCAGCCGAAAAAATAAATAAAAATTACAAATGTTTTTCCCATGGCAATACACGGAGATCTCTTCATATCCTTTAAAACAATTGTTTGTTTGAAGAAACTTTCCTTAATTGTGTAAATAAATAAAGCTTTGAGATCTACTTTTCGCCCTGTGATGGACTTGCGACCCGTCCAGGGTGTACCCCGCCCCTCACACAGTGATTGCTGGACATGGGCACCAGCGACCCCCGTGACCCAAAATGGAACAAACGGGTAAAGATAATGGATGAATGGATGGATCTACTTTTCTTTTGTACTTATTCAGCATGGAACTTGTTCCACAGTTCTCGTGCTTTTTAAACAACTAATGTCTCAAAACGTTCGGCTCCTTCAGGACATTCCTGCCACGACTTTTAGTATTCGTACAATTTTTAATTTTTTTTTTTAAATACAGTATTTGGCTTTTTCTGCCGTGATTGTCTCATTGAAAATGGAGCTTTCTTCACATACCTCAAACTGTGTGCTGTTTAAACCTTTCTTGCTCATTTCAGGCTTTTTAGTTTTGCTTATTTCAGATTTGTTAGAATCTATTGAGACGCTCTGCCTAGTTCAGCTAATTCTGCCAGTTTTCTGACTTTAATTTCCTGCATTCAGCAAATGTGAGCAGTTCAAATTCATTTAAACGGTTTAACGATGAAACCTGTTCAGCTTCTTCAGCAAAACTCATTCAGCAATAAACGTTCACACTGCATGTTCACAGGAAATTCAATTTCTCAAGTTCAACAGTTTATTCTTCAACATTTTAATAATTCATGCTGCAGTTTAGCAAAAAATACTAAGTTTGTTTTTTCCCCCCCCCATTTAGATCTTGTGTTGATGTCAGGAATCAAAAAAAACTTCTTAAAGATACTAAATGAGGTCAGGAGGGGTCAATGGACTGTACGTCTATAGAGAGCCTCTATCTAGTCAAGATACTCAAAGCTCTTTACAACAATCTGTGTGTTTACCTCCACACAAACATTCTGTCCCCCCCCCACACACACACATTCTCTAATAGGACTCACATCAGAGGCAACGAGGGGTTCAGTGTTTTGCCCAGGGACACTTCAACATGCGACTGCTGGTGGAATTCAACCCCCACCCTAACGCTCTCATTGGAGGACGACTTCTGATGGCCAGTTCACTGAAGAAAGTTGTGAGATCACGATGAAATAACAACCGTCCCCCGGGCAGCGTCGTGTTTTTGAACGTGCCTGCAGAGACGAAGGTCGCCGTTTCACGCAGGTCACTTCCTGCTGCGGCGCCACAAACTGGCAGACGGACAGAGACAAACTGCTGGGACCTAACCACAGAACTTTCTCTTGTCCGCCTGTCCCTGCCGTCACTGTGAAACAAACACGAGCAACAACTCGCAGAACAACTCTGCATCGTTATTTGGACTTGTGTAATAACGCTAAACAAGAAATAAAATGTAAAGAAAATCTTCTAACTTCTAGGAGTCAACTCTTAAAGTGCCTGCAGGCATCGTGAAATGATATCATACAAATTCACAGTGAAACTATAATTTGATGTAAATGTATAATACTTTTACTACTCTATAGTTTTGCTGCGTTCGCTTCTTCCACATCTGGACTCGAGCCCCTCACTCAAACAGCCACTGGCGAAGAAAAGACACTTATTAAAAGTGCTGCGCATGAACGAGGGAGTGAAAGGATTTGGTCAACGCAACGGGGTGCCATCAAATCCCATAATAAATCAGCACCGTGTTTGTCTCGGTTGCTAGGAAACCGAGCGAAGGAATGCCTTTGAGCTGTGCCTTCAGTGTGACGGAGGCAAGCCGAAGCTTCACCATCACATCTAATATGTGCTCAAATCTGAACCATGAATGGACCTGCTCAAAGGTGGGAGGGGGGGGGTCACCTTTTAGTTTGAAAGCTAATGGACAACTACAGACAGGCCCGTTCTGTAATTATTTCACTAAGCTAATCTGCATTTCATTATTCTGAGAACATTTACACCAGGCACAAGTGAAATAAAAGCGGAGCTAAATATGAGCAGATGGGACACGATGCTGAACATCTGTGGCTTCAAAGGGAATTGGACATGAACCCCACCAGTGGAAAACACAGGAATGGGGCCACAGATTGTGCTGCGAGCTGCTTTAAGTAGTCACCTTTAGGAAGAGAGCGCCCTCTACTGATCCAGTGGTGGCAAAGCTCCAGCAGGACCCGCAGATAGCCTGGTCCTTCACTGGAGTCACAGCCCCTGGAAGAGCAGCATGAAAATCAGGTTTGGATGTTCTGCAAGACTGATTCTTTGGAAAGCGTTTAGGGACGACACGTACCGTACAGCCTCCAGTCGAGGGACTCGGGTACTTTCACCCCTTCATAAAGTCTCGATGGAAACGGGAGGCCTTTGTTTGGCGTCTTGCCTCGTTGTCGTCCCCTCATTGTTGCCAGCTCTGACATGGTGCGATCCGACATGGAGTTCAGGGCCAGAGAGAAGGACAAACCAGCTCTGTTCTTAGAGTGGACATACCTAAAGCAACAACATTCAGCTCATCAGATACTCCACACAAACATAGAAAACAATCTTAACCAGAGTCGTTTTTCTCACCTGAGGTTGTGAAGAAAAGCGTGCTCCCTCTCCTCGTGCTCCTTCTCCTCGCTGTACTGACGCTGAAACTTCTCCTTGAAGTGGTTGAACATCTTCTGAGAGTGGCCTGCAGCGGTGGTGTGGATCAGATCTTTCATTGGATTGGCCAGCATGTGGTGCTCCACACCTGGACCTGGAAAACCTCCACAGGTGATCCCTAAAGGAGAAGGATGGTGTTTATTCTACTTGCTCCAAAAAGTTCAGTTCAGCTTACGACTAGTAGACGAACCTTCAGGCAGAGAGAAGACTATGGGATCCAAATGAGTGCTGAACTCCTTGTAGTCCACCAGGTACTTGTCATAGTGGGACATCAACAGCGTGTTGTATCCCATCATCTCATAATGGAGGGGAACGGCTGTTTTACCATCTTTTTCTGGATTAGTCACCCACAGTGTGTAGGTGTTCTTCTTGTTACCCACGGTGGTCACGTTCTGCCAGACTTCACACAGGGAACCACCGTAAGACTCCATCCTCAAGAACTACAGAGTGAAACAACAATTACTGATAAGAACACAGGCTCAGCAGTGGAACAGGCGACCAAAGATCCTTGAGATCACGGGTCATCCATAAAACTTGAAGTGTTATTCAGACAGAGGCCTCTGACTGGACATGTTTCAGATAATTATGGCCAATTAGTTCAGAACTTTTGGTGCATGTGAAAAAAGAAATGCAACATATCATAATGACATCAATATAATAAAAAAATAATCACCTGTAGTTTCGAGTTGGACAATAATGGCTGAAGGAAAATACTGAAAGTGTCATTAAAAGACAATTTGTTTAATTTAAGGCTAAAATATTTCAGTCAGGGTCAAGTTGGTAGAGCCGTTGCCTCTCAGCAAGAAGGTTGCCAGATCAAATCCCAGCTTGGGACCTTTCTGGGTGGCGTTTACATGTTCTCTCCGTGCATGTGTGAGTTTTCTCCGAGTACTCCAGTTTCCTCCCACAGACCAAAAACATGCATGTTCGACTGATTAGTAACTCTAAATTGTCCCTAGGTGTGAGTGAGAGAGTGAATGGTTGTCTCGTTTGTCTCCATGTGTCCCTGTGATGGACTGGAGACCTGTCCAGGGTGTCCCCCACCTCTCGCACAGCGACTGTTAAGACATGGTCACAGTGATCCCCATGACCCAAAAAGAAGTGAGTAAAGAAAGTGTGTGTGTGGGGGGAGAGAACGAAAGCTGGAAAAGAGCGGGAAAAAGAAAGAAAGGAAGGAAACCCTTGCATCATGTTTGTGTCTTCCTGTTTTCTGTGCTTCTTGTGTCCAGCTGATCCGAGCAGGCAGAGACCCCCTCATGTTCTCTGGCAGCTTCTTGCTACCGAGTCCCAGAGTCCAAATCCAGCCTGTAAGGTGCTGTGAGCTGAACTGATTACTACGTCAGACTGTGTTCATATATTCATAATTTAGTAGTTTGCTGGCCAAATGGAATGAGCTCGAGGGCCAGATATGGCCCACGGGCCACCAGGAAATCATCAGTTTTTTTTGCCTTGTTACATAAAAAAAAGGGATAATTGTATTTTAAATATGGCCACAACTTGAATAATTTGTTGCCATTTGACATAAAACAGAATTGAATGCGGGTGAACGTTCCTCATCACATGCAGGAAAATGCATTTATTTTAACAAGGTCATTGATAAAGGTCCTGTTTATAAAACTTGCTGTCATTTAGCATTAAAGATGCAGATCAAAACAATCTTAATATCCCTAATTGACTTTAAAGCCCAAAAGTAAAATTACAGTAAATAGTTAATCATGGGTTATTTTCTAAATAATGTAGTCTTAGAGTTTGACAGCCCCCCCCCCCCCAAACACCTGGAAGCCCTGAACATCAGGCAGCGATGTCTGTGGCGTGACCACCTCCTCCTTGGTTCCATTGATCTGGAAGCATTTGATCACATTTTGTTCCTCCTCAGTCGTCTCCGGTGTGATTTTATAGGCCACACCAAACTGCTGCTGCGAGCCCAGCTGGTACGTGGAAACCTGGCCTGTTGATCATGACAGAGGGATGAACAGGAACACATTTGATTTGGTAAATACAGTCATTGCAACCAATTTACTCCACTTTCTTTTGTACACAAGATCCACAACGTTATCCTCCCTTTAGGGCAGCAGAAACACATATTTGGCTACAGACTGATTTTTCTTTTTAAATTAAAACAAAAATACAGATAAAGTAAAGTTAGGTCCTCTGGACAGATTCCTCTTGTTGCAACGTTTCGTCTTTTATCCAAAAGACTTGTCAGTCTGAGGAGCTGCAACAAACCCAGTCTTATAAACAGCACCTTCTCATAGTGGATCAACAGAAGAGCAACATGATCAGGCCAGGACTCTGCAGTCTACACTTATCTCTGGAAAGTGTCAAAAGAGATTTTTATAGTTTACAAAACAACCGAAGATACTCGATCAACCTGATAATATCGGAAAGCCTTTCTGTGAACCCACAATTGGACGTTTGCGTTAACACAGATCACCCAGGATGTTCTGGTATCACCTTGTACCAACCTCCAACCAAACTATCCTTCAACGATCGTAAAGAACAGAAAGCCTCGTCTCAGTTCAAAGGAATTCCAACCGGACACTTGGGTCCCCTTTCCTGCATGTAGAAAACTGACGGACTTTTATTCACATTCTAGAAGAAGTAATAATGTTTTTTCTGTAATGAAATAATTGTTTACTGGGAATAACTAAATAATTTGCCTGGTTTCTCCTGCAGCTGACAAGAACCTGTGTAGCCCAAAACATTTGCAAACGTGTTTTTTGTTTACAAGGTTAACAAAGTGTCTTTATTGGTTTCTTTAACCTCATTTGAAGTTGACAACTGTCTTAAATTTATTTGATGACTTTTTCCACAGAGCAGATTAAAATACTTTAGTTGATAAATTTCAGCCCTTCCATTCTGATTGGTTCAAATCGACCACCCCTTTCAAATTAGAGGTGTGGTCGATTGTTTGCTATAGAGAGGAAGACCTCTCAGATGAATTTTAGAAGTTGAGAAAAGAAGTCGAATGAGAGAGAGACGACAGGAGAAGTGATGAAGACCTCCAGAAAAGGAGAAAGAGTAAGCTTTTAAAGACAAAACCTACAAAAACTTCCACTAAGAAGATTGGAGTTTGGCAAAGTCTGATAGAACCCTCTTCAGCACTCCAGACACCTGCAGTTATCATCAACAGAGTTAACAACAGTTGTCCAGAACTACAGGAGACGCTCTGGTTGACCATTAGAGCCAGTGACCAAACTCATCGCCTTGATGTCAGAGATGTGAAGGGATTTCCACCTTTACATCAAAGACCATCTGAGCAGAAAGAGTCCAACATCTGGCATCTTCAGGCAGCTGTTGGAAGACTACTTGTGGTAGGAACAGCTGATCTGTACTCTGAAGCTGTCCAAGATTTTAGATTTTAACCATATTGGCATTAACTCAGTTCAGTAATTATTTTTTCCTTAAATTTCAGACCAAATTTTAACTATTGAACGATAAAACGTCTTTCTTTTAGTTAAATTTGTATAATTAATCTGCCTGTTGAAAATTCCAATTGTTCTACATTGCATCTCGTTTTGGTTTGGGTAAGCACATAGAATAATTTCATTTATCTGTTAATTCCTACTAATAAGCAATTTTAAAAGGTCACCTTAATTTCCATAAAACTCCAGTTGTGAACAAAGCATTCATTTAAATGTCAGAAATAATTTCCAACAGTTATTTTCTCATATATAGTCAAATAATCACAAAACTGTATTAAAGCGTGTGCGTTTTATTTATGACAGTTCTTTTGTATGAATAATTCAGACAACGGTGTAAAAAGGGTAATTCAAGGTAATTAAAACAAACAAAATCTGAATTGATTTTCAGACCTTCAGATTTTCTCTCAGAGCTGATGGTGGTGCTCCTTCAAAATAAAATTCATAACGAATATCATCATCAACCACGACCAACTGTTAGGCTGATGGTCCTCCTTTATCATGTGAACAACTAGTTCTGGATGTCATCAACAAACTGGTTGATCCACTATGAGAAGGTGCTATTTACAAGAGTTTGTTGCAGCTCCTCAGACTGACCAAGTCTTTTGGATAAAAGATTAAACATTTCAATAAAGAAGAATCCGTCCAGAGGACCTGATTTAACCTCGTTAGACTCATCTACCTGGATTACAGAGCATGCATCAGTATATAAATACAGATTGTTCTTGTTGCATTTGTCACATTAGGTGCTGGTTACTTCATATTTTTGGTCACCTTAAACCATACATGACGCCTGCCGTGGGGTTTGGACCTGCCTCAACAGCCAATATAGGTATGAAATAAGGCCAGGGTAAGAAGTGGAGGTACAAAGTGACCCAGAGGTGTCACATGTTGTGCTGTAACAATTTAAGTCAGTTTCTGTTCCTTATTTTGCTCCAACAATTGTGAAAGCAGGGTTCAACTAATGTTAGTTTTGCTTTCACGTTCAGCTCCGTGTAGCCTGACAATCTCAAGCTCACATTTCGGTTGATAAAGAAACTATTTTTATTGAGACATGAGCGTTACGTTACCACATGTAAAAATATACTTTCTGATCCATTTGTGATTGTATCAAGAGGACGAGTTCAAAGAGTTGATCTTTAAAGCCACTGGGCACTTTTTCCCCCACATTAAAAATTATTATTTATATTCAACAAAATAAACAAGCGTTGATAAAAAATCTCGGGGAAATAAAATGCATCTTATGCGTCACTTGAAATATTAGAAATTTCCAACTTCCTGTTCATTTGATGATGCTGCAGTTTGGCATCTCCTCCACAACTCAGCAGAATCTCAGTTTTAAATCACACACATCCCCAACATTTATGTTGTGAGCACTTTGTCCTGTGCTTTCTTACCATTGTAATAATCTATTCGGCTGGACTTTGTAGTCAGGTCGAACCAGCCTTCAAATGGCTCCACAATCTCAGCATAGGGCAAAGAGATGACTCCTGCAATGCAATGAGATGATGAGCCACAAAGAGCCCTGTCATCCAGCCCTCCATCTCACAACCATCTACCTTTGACGTGATAAGTGTTCCCAAAGTCAGGAAGAGAGGGAACTGCCTTTCCCTCGGTGCCTGGACAAAAACAAAAGGTTTACAGCTGAAAACAACAAGCCTGGCTGGGAACTATTAGAGAACCACAGCTGTTAACTAGCTTACCAGAATGAAATGCTAACCCAGCATTTTAATATGGCTTTATCAAAAATTAACTGATTTGAACTTAAACTAAACACTACGTGATTGCCATAATGAAAACTGCCAAGTCATGAATTTGTGCGGTGTTGACAGTTTTAACTGCTTGAACAACGACGAGCAGCAGAACTAATGTAAAACTACAATTTAACACGGGAATGCAGCGTTCAATGACTGAAAACGTGCTGCGGAATTTTTAAAGTCGTTCCTTACCGCACGCAGCCCACAGAAGAACAGCTACAGCGAATAAACGAACCATTCTCTTAACAATTGTTCAGAAAAAATAGAGACATACAATGAGTCAAACTACACTCTGGCGGCTTAACAGAACTTGACTCAGAATGTTGCTGTTATCCCTCAAAACACTCAAGTTAAAAAGCCGTCACATGCGGAAACACCGACGTCTTTTTCAACCAATCAGAATGCAACAATGATTAGTGTCGTCCAATGAGATACAAGAAGCGGCTCCTGTGGTCCAATAGGATACAAGGGGTGGGCCCTAAGCGTAAATATCATGTGGTTTGAGTCATATGACTTCAGATGTTTGTCGGTGCTTGTTCAGCAAGTTATTGCAGTTGTTTGCTAAATTTTAAAGGTTCAAGGTGCATTTTTTGTTGCAGTTGTTCAGATAAAGCACATGTGACATTCTGTAGCAGGAAAGGTAGCTGGATGACTGAGCAGAATCAGCGGCTTTATACGAGATCCTTTCCTGATTGTTTTTAAAATTTACAGACAAAACATAGTTTGACTGAATCACAAGTTTTGAATTTAACATTGATGAGAATATTCTTCACATTTTCTTATTGGTATGGCTGCATTTTAAGAAAACTGGTAGTTTATTTCAAGGCGTATTTTCCACTCTTGATCTCCAGTGTCTGGTGCACAATTAAAATGTTACATTTGTGTTAAAGTCAAATTTTCACCCATAAGCCTAAAGTCATTGTTAATTTGTCATCATTTTATTATGACAAAACAAATCCCACAAAACTGTGAACATGGGTTCAATAATAGAAACAAGTATTTTCATCCACCAGATTAAAAAAACAACTCTTATTTCAAATTCAAAACAATAAAAACAGTATGTAACCCCCTCTCTACACACACGAAAAAAATTATATATATAAAATAGAATAGAATAAAATATAACAAAACAGACAATTATTTAGACAAACAAAAGTACTGATTTCCAAAGTTTAATATGTACAAGCAGTCTGAAAATGGTTGACATTGCAGTTTATAGATTCAGTTTTTCGTAAGTTTCCCTCTTTGTAAAAAAAGGAACAGTCTTGACTTTTTTATGGTAGCTTCAATTGAATAAAAATATCAACAAAAATTCCTAATAAAAAAAACATGATTAAAAGTCTAAACTTGACTTGCAAATCACTGAGGTAAATAGTACAACCCAGGCAGAATGATACCTCCACAAGTTGGTTATGAGCCACACAGATATCAATCAATTTCAAACTTTGTCTCAAATGTTTTAGATGTATAAAACCCACAGTTCCACAAAATCAATTCCTTTCCTTCCAGCCTCTGCACCATCTCGGACAAGACCAAAGAGCCCTGATTGGGATTTAACAAAGATCTTGCCACAAGATCTTGCCATACAGGGTGAAAAAGGTGAGGAATCAGTTCAGAGAGCCCAAGAGGATCTTCTAAAAGATCTGAAGGCATTAGGACCACAATTACTTAAAACACAATAAAACACTAAACCACAATGGACTAAAACCTTTGACCATCAGCATCATCTGGACAAAACATTTGGCCACAATGTTCAAAACGTGCATGGGAGTTTGTTCCTGTTTTGCAACAGCTTCCACCTTTCTCAGAAGGCTTTGCCCACATCTTTGGAGTGTTTCTGTGGGAATTTATGGCTGAATGTTCTGAAGACGAGGAGGTCGATGTTCCAGTTCATGTCGAAGGTTCTCGGTGGGGTTGAGGTCAGGGCTTTGTGTGGGCCAAAGTTCTTCCACACTACGGTACACTGGAGCACAGTCAGTGGCTCAGAAGGGCCTTCCCTTAAAATATCCTGATTCATGCTCAATAATCCAGGTAGAAGAGTTCAACAAAGTTAAACCAGATCTTTTGGACGGTTTCTTTTTTTTTATTATTTAGAAAAGAAACTGTGCAGAGGACCTGGCTTAACTTTGTTGGACTTCCCTTAAAGTGTTCCGCAAAGTTGAAAGTTTTAAATATCCTAAATATTTTAGTATGTGTGTGGCATGGTGGTGCAGTTAGTCGAGCTGCTACCTCTCAGCAAGCAGGTTGTCAGATCAAATCCCGGCTGGGATCCTTTCTGGGTGGATCCAAAAAGATGACCTGACTTTAACTTTTTTGGATTTTATTTACCTGGATTATTGAGCACGCATCAGGAGTTTATGGGTGGAGTTTGCATGTTCTCTTCGACAGGGCCAGATTAACACTGGAGTTCTATATGTTCGTCATTTATTTATTTCAGTATTGTCCCACATGTTTAGATGTTTCCTAATAAGAACTGAGACGGTGACCTTCAGTAACCCTTTGTCTACTTCTTCCACAAAATAACACATAACATTTAAATAAGTTTAAAGGGACTGTTTAGTGATCACCTTATTATTTTTTTAAAAATAATTTGTATACAAATCTGCATCAAGAGTCAGCTTGCAGAGTCTTTAGATTCAGTTTTAGATCCAAACGGCTCAAACAAAGCAACAAATTAGTGACGAAGAGCTTTGAGCTAAACACAATCCAAGAAAATGAGGACAAGATAAAACAAAGTCACAATCAGCCCTAAATTAATGGAACTATCTGGATGAATTATTTATTTAATGTAAGGAGGAAAGGAAACTTTTCATGGTCAAACCATGGAGGATGAAGACTCTCCGTGCTGCGTGGGTTTGCTCCAGGTACTCATGTTTCCTCCCACAGACCAAAAACATGCACGTTAGACTGATTGGTAACTCTAAATTGTCTCTAAGTGTGAGGGAGAGCGTGAATGGTTGTTTGTCTCTATGTGTCCTTGTGATGGACTGGAGACCTGTCCAGGGTGTCCCCCACCTCTCACACAGTGATTGCTGGACATGGACACCAGTGACCCCCATGGCCCAAAAATCAAGAAGTGGGTAAAGATAATGGATGGATGGATGGACGGACGGATGGGTTTTAGGATGCTGAAGCATTAAGATGACCCCTCACTGGAGATTAGGGGCATCATGAAACTCTGACAGAAACACCTCAACAATTAACAGGTGTCCAAATGTTTTTGTCCATATAGTGCACGTGCTACAGTAATTATGCACCTGGTAGTTTCTGCTCACTGCATATTATTTCTAAAAAAAATAAAAGAGTTGTATTAATCATCTCGTAGTTTCTGTTTTGAATGATTCTGCACAGATTATTGAATAAGGATTACGGTGTCGTGTTAAACGTGCTGCTGTTTGAGCTCCGCCCACTCTCACCTGTTCCCTGTTGTCATCTTGCCCAGGTGTCTCCACTCCCCTCAGCCCCTGTGCATGAAGTCCATCAGTGTTCAGCTCACATGTGCAAGCTTCATGCTCACCTTTAATCTTGTTTTGTTTTCTTGTTGCTGCTAGGTCAGCGCTTTGCTTTGTTTAATAAAGTTTATGGGTTTATTTTTTTACTCAGTCTCCTCGAATCAGTCTGAATTATTGGGTCTACAAATCGTTACAACTTTAATACTGTCATCTTTTTTTGTTGTTGTTGTTGTTGTTGGTCTTTTAAAAATACAACACTATGCATCGCTTGTCCAAGTATTTTCTGGGAGTTGTTGACAACAGCCATATAAATGTAGCATTTCTTAACAGCTGGAGATCTAACAGGTATATTTGTGAGTAATGTTCATTAATTAATGACAGCCTCCGTGTTCCTCCATGGTTTGACCATGAAAAGTTTCCTTTCCTCCTTACATTAAATAAATAATTCATCCAGATAGTTCCATTAATTTAGGGCTGATTGTGACTTTGTTTTATCTTGTCCTCATTTTCTTGGATTGTGTTTAGCTCAAAGCTCTTCATCACTAATTTGTTGCTTTGTTTGAGCCGTTTGGATCTAAAACTGAATCTAAAGACTCTGCAAACTGACTCTTGATGCAGATTTGTATAAAAATAATTTTTTTTAAAATTAATAAGGTGATCACAAAACAATCCCTTTAAACTTATTTAAATGTTATGTGTTATTTTGTGGAAGAAGTAGACAAAGGATTACTGAAGGTCACCGCTTCAAGGCCGCGTGCCTCCATCGTCTCAGTTCTTATTAGGAAACATCTAAACATGTGGGACAATATTGAAATAAATCAATGAAAAATATATAGAACTTTCTCTAATTCTTGTAAAAATCAAATGATAATAGAGTCACTGCATTTAACTTGTAACTTTTATTCCTAGTATAAATTATATATTAAAATAAAAAACAAATCAAGACTTTTTGATACTCTACTATTATATATTTATATATTGTCCAGTGTGTGTACAACTCTGCTGTTTTTCTCATGTCTAATCTACAGGAAATATAGCACGTTGGCACTAGATGTCAGTCTAACAAAAGATTATATCGTCACTCAGTTTCAGTTTCTTAAGGCCTGAGCCCTCCCACAGACTGGAACTACAATATAAATGAAAATATTTTCAGCTGAATGTAGAGTCGAGCAAAGACAAAAAAAGAGACTGGACTGAATGAAGGAAGTTGTTCTGCTCATAACGTTGTCAGATGGGGGTCTCAGGGCTCTAAGTGAAGTCATGAGACGACCCGGAAACAATGAAGCAGCCTATGGGACATAAAATATCCTGTAGGAGTTCAAGTTATTGTTTTTGTGGTTCACTTGGTGGTTTTTGCTCTTCAGCAGAAAAGAAGCAGTTAGGAGTGTAATGTGATACCAAAGTCTCGTGCTCTTATTTAACGTTCCCAAAGAAGCCCTCCCCTAAGATAAACAGGAATAAACCTTTATTTTGACAACATAATGCTACACATTCTAGTTTTAAAGGGAAGGCCCTAAAACACAGAGCGACTCTTCAAGTTCTGACTGAATGTTTGTGACGTGCACATCCTACAAATATAAAAAACAAAAAGAAGAAAACACTGTAATATTTAAGAAATCTGGAATAATTCATGTCACTTTAGACTTTTTGTCACATAACTGGCGTATCTTCATTTGAAGGTGGCGCAGCCAAAGTGACACAGGAAGTGACATCAAAGGGGAGCTCTTTGTTTATTGAAATAATATTTGAACTCTGACTCTTCTTCATCTCTCTCATAACCTAAATAATAATCAGCGTCTTCTCTGCTGTCTGTGTTAGCCATCGTAGCACCGCTCTGTTCATGCAGCTCCCCTTTGACATCACTTCCTGTTACTGGGCATGCAAATATCTCAACAACTGTTCATCTCAGTGGCGTGAACTTTTTTTTGGAATACATTATCAATGTTATCTTTCCAAAAATGCATTCAGGTTTGTTACAAAATTTGGATGTCACAGGCACTTTAATGCTTTTCTGTATAGTTGTCACCCTCGTCCAAAGACGAAACGGCAAATATGTTTTCGTCTGTTTATGTGCATGTCATGTTAGCAAAATATCTCAAGACCCAATGGACAGATTTTAATAAAACTCTGAGAATGTAGTCATTTGCTCTAAATTTACACTAGATAAACAACTTAATTCTATCCAAGATGGCTGCCACAGCCAACTGAATTTAGAAAACACAAAAATGGCTAAAACCCAGTTTTCCAAATGCTAAGCTAGGTGTCCGATAACACACCCTGAGTGCAAACTAATCCCATTAGATCTGGCTATAATGTGTTGATATGCATTCCTTTAAATATCAATGGAAAGAATTACATTTTAGATTTATGTTATAAATACAGGTATGATAAAAGTATTTGAGTCTCTAGTGTCAAGAATTGATTTTTTTTTTTGCGATGACAACAGAGTGATTGGTTTATTCTTCATCTATAAAAGTCTGAGCATCAGTAACGTGCACGTCAGGACTGCAAAGAAAAAGTTACGATAGCCAAGTTGTTTTTATTTTATCAATGAGACTAAGCTAGAATTTCAGTTAGAAAAATAATAAATTGTGAACATTTGGATAAAATACGTTGTTTCACTGAAATAAAATGTTTTGTCCAACACAGTGGTGCCAGCATCAGGCTTTGGGCCTGTAGTGCTGCAACAAGCCTTTATAAATAAACTAATTTACAAGTAGAGGAGTTAAATCTAAAACAAATGTGATAAACTAATGTTCGCAATAAAGTTAATTAGGCAGTAACCACCTGCTTCGAATGTTATCAGCCATTAAATGGTCTATTATCAGTTGTTATCATCCCCATATGTAGCATCCAGACTGCCCATCCTGTACCTACTAGTGGGTTTAAAGGTACGTTGTTAGTGTTGTTAGCACTGATAATAGGCTCACGTGGTTAGGTTCAGAGTAAAGAGTCTGGGTTAGGTTTAGGCACAAGGGTAAGGGGGTCAGTCACCTTAGGGTCAGTGCTCTGGGTCAGGCATAAGGTTAGGTTTAGGAAGAGTTACTTAAAGCTGACAAAAAAAAACCACTTCCTGTTTTACCCACGTGCGACGCCATATATTATCAGCAATACAAACAAAACTTTAAACCTGCTAAGAGGTAGGAGGGACAATAACGTCCATTTAATGGGCTGATCACATCCGAAGCTGCTGCCAGCAGTAATGCCGTGATGGACTTGAACCCCCCACCTCTCGCTCAGAGACCGCTGGACATGGGCACCAGTGACCCCCGCGGCCCGAAAAGGAAGAAGCAGGTAAAGATGATGGTAATAACCATAAATTAACACAAAAAACTTGTCCCCAAATAAAGTCCTGACCCCAGTACCACCAAAAAAAAAAAACGTGATGTTTTTCTAACAACCAATTTCAATCAACAAAATTTTTTTGAAACATTTTTATTTCCTATTTTGTGTTAAACAAATATAACAGGAACCACAAAACCATTTGTATACCAGAATACATGAATATAAATATAGATTAGCTCTACAACAGGGTAACATTGAAACAGTTACAAACGCAACACGTTAAAAAAATCATTCACTCGGCCACACAAACTGCAGAACACAGTTTGAACTCCGCACTCGTTCACACATTCACTCACCAGCTGAAATGGAAGACCGTTTCTACATGTGTCCAAAGAGTCAGGTCCAGAGTGGAGTCAGCGCTCAGACGGCAGCTGGTGCGCCATCTTCCCTCATGTTCTCTGGGAATTGACCTAACGAGCCTTCGTCAAAGTGACTGAAGTAAAATACAGGAGACGGGTCTACATCTGGGTCGTTGGTCCGTTTTCCATCCTGTTCACATCCACAGAAAATATCTGGACTGAAGACGGTTCAGAACTTAGCTACATTAACGTGCACAGATCGATGCACAGTCCCATGAAAAAGGGACATTTTCACTTCTGCACAACAAAAAAACAACGTTACGGCGCAAAATATTTTCACAAATACAGAACAAAGAACGTCACTTCATTAGCACACACACACACACACACACACACACACACACACACATTGAGGTGTCTGCAGATGAAAACCTCAGATCCTCTGTGGTCTTCTTTGTCCAAACTGTCCACAGTGTCTATAGAACAAGGACTTTGTGAGGGTAATTACCTGCTGAGTCCCTCCCACCTGACAGAGCAGATGTTTAATAGTCGGTCATGCAGGAGAGCAGCCGAATGTCTCGTTTGTAGCAACAACTCCTCCCGTTGTGCCATGAGTCCACGCTGAAGCTCAAAGCTGGGTGCAGTTAGTGTTGGGGGTCCGGCGGGCTCATCACACGCTGTTAAATAACAGAATCGCTGTGGCGGCGCTGGGAGAGCAGATTTCAGTGTTGATGAAATGGGGATCTTCCTCGTCCTCTGAGTCCTCCTGTTCCTGTGCACCAGTCAGGGTTAGCTTGTTCAGGCCCAGCGAGACCTCAGCTCCTCCTGCTCCTTCTGCTCTGTCACCTGGAACACACACACCGAGGACAGAGCACAAAGAGGTCATTACACCTGTCCGCCGAACCAGGAAGACACCAAGCGTCTTCATTAAAGGGCAGGAGATTTCAAACTCGAGCCCAGGAAGAGCTGGTTCGTCAGCTGAAAACAGAGAACGCTGACTCAGCATTCACAGTGACTGCCGAGTCCTGCTTTGTATTTTATATTTTGTAGGGTTCTGGCCAACCAAGCACTTCTTCATACTTTGGGTTAATTTAGCCAATCCTGTATCAAACCTTCAGCTTGGTCAGTTGTCCATTTTGTTTTTTTAAGTAAATGTTGAACTTTTTAAGATGTTTAACTTTATTTACAAATATTTCCCTCATAGAAGTTCATTCAAGCTCTCGTTTGAATATTTGCTACTACCACCGAGATCTGCGCCCGCGGCAGCTCCACCCGAGCTCGCGCCCCAGGCTTCCACACGCACCGCGGCAGCCCTCCTACTCATCGCGGCTCAACGGCGGTGTAGGTCCGACGCTCCAGCGCCAGTCATTTTGAGGGCTAGTTGATTCGGCAGGTGAGTTGTTACACACTCCTTAGCAGGTTCTGACTTCCATGGCCACCGTCCTGCTGTTCAATCAACCAGCATCTTTTGCGGGGTCTGATGAGCGTCGGCAGCGGGCGCCTTAACCCGGCGTTCGTTCATCCCGCAGCGCCAGTTCTGCTTACCAAAAGTGGCCCACCTGGCGGCTCGCATTCCACGCCCGGCTCCAAGCCAGCGAGCCGGGCTTCTTGCCTTAAAGTTTGAGAATAGGTTGAGACAGTTTCAGCCCCAAAACCTCTAGTCATTCGCTTTACCGGATAAAACCGCGAGGCTCCGAGCGCCAGCTACGGAAACTTCGGAGGGAATTCTTGAATTTCCTCCTTGGATTAATAAAGTATCTCTCTATTAAAATCTCCTCTTATACTTCATAAATACTGTTAGTATCAAATCTGATTCAGCCTAGCTGCTGGTTTTGTTTTATGCTATTTGTAGCTTTTAGCTACTGTTCTGTTACTTTTATGTTTTTGCCTTGTTTTTTGGCTACAGTTCTGCTTATTTTGCTTTTAACTATCTTTTAGCTACTATTAGCTTCTAGCTAGCCTTATGACACTTCTATTAAGGCTTTTGCTACTTTTAGCTTCTTGCTAACCTTTTGATACTTTTAGCTCTTTTAGCTAAACAAAGGTTACCTTATTATATTTAACTCATTTGAGAAATAATGTAATTGTAATTCTGCCTAATGGGCTGGATATTTATCATTAAACCAATTGGTAATCTAAAGAATAGTTTTAAGGGTTTGACTTTTTCCATTATCAACAAGCTGTGCTGTAAACATGTTTTCCTTCTCACAAAAACTCAATTTTAAGGAAAGATTTTGCAACAACTTGAGCTACAAACAGACAAACTAGTGCTGACACTGTATACATGCGAATAAGAAAAAAATGAAGTGCGTTTTAGAAACATGTAGAGATAAAATCAGTTGCTATACTGAATCCAAAAAAAGGTTCAAGACAAAAACAACTGGACTTTGTTTGTTGCTGAAGACGTCTCGCTTCTCGCCCGAGGATCTTTCTCAATTTACAGAACAGAGTGTGGGATTCAAACTCGAACTCTACAAATTAAAGTCCAGTTGTTTTTGTCTTGAACCTTTGTTTGGAGTTACCACGTCCTGGATGACTGAGAACCGTCACCAGCAGCTGCTGTTTCCCAGCGCTCCGTCTACACACCTCTCTCCTGGTCGCAGTCCGGAGAGGAAGCTCCGCTGCACTGGCTGCGAGGGCCCAGTACCGGTGAGGCGGGCCCAGAACCGCAGACTGAGTCTGCGCTGTGAGAGCTGCAGGGGCTCTCCAAGTCCAGACCACTGGGACATGAGGAGGAGGAGGAGGAGGAAGAGGAGAGGGAGCGAGATGAAGGGGAGGTGGGGAAAAGGCAAGGCGTGCTGAGAGGAGTGGAGGCAGGTGGAGGAGGGTGGGATGAAGACGAGGAAGGTGAGGAGGTGGTGTGAGTGTTGGCCTCCTCCTCAGAGCTTTGACTGCCCACTTCGTCCATTGATACTGACACCACTGAAACACACACACGGAGGCAGGTGTACGTGAAACATGCACGACTGACTGGTCCCAGTCTGGAGCCAGGACTTAAACACAGTTGTTTGGTTTCCTCAGTCTATGAACGGACTCTGTCAACACGTCTTCTGTGTGGAGGTCTTGACAGAACGAAGAAGATGAAAAGCTCTTCTTGGTTCTGTAGGCTGGTGATGTGAAGCCAGAGAGTAAAAAAGGCTCCAGCTAATCAGGCGACATGTTTTAAGGGACAGTTCATATTTATGAAGTTGGGTTCTGAGGAAATGTTCAGCAGTTTGATTCTTAAAACAAATGTGCACAGTTGAAGTGAGCTCCACCGAGACCAAAGAGGACTGCTGCCATCTTAAACCACAACAATCACATGCTACAGCAGATGATGCAGAACCTGCTCTTTTCTACACGTCGTCAGCTTCACCCCATTATTTATTTACAGGAACGGGTTTGGAGACAGACGAGCACAAGACTGGAGCGTGTCAGGATGGAAGTAGGTACTTCAGTTTTAATCCACTTGGTTTTGAAGGTCTACAGCCATCCATCCAAACAGACATCCATCCATCCAAACAGACATCCATCCATCCAAACAGACATCCATCCATTCAAACAGACATCCATACATCCATCCAAACAGACATCCATCCATCCATCATCCATCCATCCAAACACAGACATCCATCCATCCATCCAAACAGACATCCATCCATTCAAACAGACATCCATCCATCCATCCAC